CCACTTTTGTACTTTGAATTAGCCCCCTTGTACCTCGCTGGGTGGGCTGACCTTTTGGGCCATGCCAATAGCCCAGACACCTTCTCCGTGCTAAATATATATATATATATATTCTGCCCTAGTGTTGTGACCCTTCTTTCGTCTTCAGGGAGTCTCAAGACGCTACAGTGATACCTCACGACTTCTAAGAAAGTCGAAGACCCATAATTATTAACCTAAGAATGGGCAAAGTGTACAGGTTGGAGCCACTGAATTGCCTGCTTGATTAAACACAAAAAGTGCCAAGTCTATGCACAAAACACACAGCAGAGAATTGCAATTCGGTACAATTTCAGAGAGTTTTCGGATGGCTGTGATGTTTCAAAATTATATGAACTTCTGCTACCTTGCATTTAAGGTTGCTTAAGGTAGACCATGGAATTGAAAATACTCTAACTAGGCGCCAATTTTTTTTCTGAACATTTTAAAGAAACAAACGTTATATTGCTAGGGTCCGCGTCTTCTCCGATTCCAAAAAATGCCTGCGTAGAATGGAAAAACATGCATTACTAATGCTGGGAAAAGGCAGGTTGCTATGAGCATCGCCTCGGAAAAAGCACGCATTCACGTCTTGGTGATAATTTACCTTGCCAACAATGTGTTTAGCTTTTCTAAAAAGTAAATGACGCTGCTGATCTTGAATAATCAAATCATTCCCTGCTTTGATAATTTGTTCAACAACTATTTCATATTAGATTTTTTAGGCAGCTTTTTTTTGGTGCAAGTTTATTTTTATTCATTGGATTTATTAGCAGCAGGCATTGCCAATATTTTGGTCTATTGTCAACATCTTTAAAGGCAAATTTCTGATTGGTCTAGATCTGTTTCGGGTTCATTGAGCTGATCGCCAATTGGAGTTGGTTGCGGTTATTAAACTGTTCTTTCTGCGGCTCACATGGCGGATTCCAGGCGCTCTGTTCCTAAAACGCCAGTAGAAGTTCGAATTGGTGATTATATAATTGGTGAAACGCTTGGCTCAGGAACTTTTGGCAAGGTGAAAGTTGGAATTCACAAATCAACTGGCGTTCAAGTTGCAGTCAAGATAGTTAATAGGGATAAGATCAAAGCTCTTGACGTTGCTGGTAAACTACGAAGGGAGATTCAAAACTTATGGCTATTTCGCCATCCCCATATCATAAAGCTATACCAGGTGAACGACTGATGTTTTCATTATTTGCTAGGTCATCAGCACTCCCACCGATATATTTATGATAATGGAGTATGTCAGTGGTGGGGAACTATTTGAATTCATTGTTAAATCGGGGAAAATAAGTGAAAAGGATGCTCGGAAATTTTTCCAACAAATCATTTCCGGTGTGGATTATTGCCACCGTCATAAGGTTGTTCATCGTGATCTTAAACCAGAAAATCTCCTTCTGGATTGCAATCATAACGTCAAAATAGCAGATTTTGGTGAGCTTCTATCGTACATTTTTGCATATGTTTTACAACTTACATGTTTATTGAGTCCAGTTGAAGATATTGCTGTTTACTTTTTTGGGTTTCCATGTATCAGCATTGGCAATTTAGATATTTTGTAGTTTCCATGTTGAATGCGTATGTGTTTACTCGTCTAAAGATAACTTTCAGTGGCGATTTTAGCAAAAAGACATGACTTTTGCTTTGGTTTGGCTGTCTAAAGTAACAATGCTTATCACGGAAGTGTTTGGTTTTTTGGCGTATCTTGTTCTTCAGGTCTGTCAAACATTATGCAAGATGGCGAGTTCCTGCGTACCTCTTGCGGGTCGCCTAACTATGCCGCCCCAGAGGTTATTTCTGGGAAGTTATATGCCGGTCCTGAGGTAGACGTTTGGTCTTGTGGTGTGATTCTTTACGCGCTCCTCTGTGGAACACTACCATTTGACGAAGAACACATCCCTACTCTTTTCAAAAAGATTAAGGCCGGATTCTTCCACATGCCTGAATGGCTTGGTGCAAGCGTAATGCTAATAATTTTATTCTACTGCTTATGTGTACAGGCATATTTGTGCTCGCTCTTTTTAACGTTTAAGCCTATCAGTAATTTTTCTGTAGCATAGAACGCTCTAATACGTTCTGCTTGTTTTTCTGTTTTCTGACAATCATATAATATTACATAGAAACATTTTTTTTCCAGCTCACTCAATGCGTGGATTCGAAATAAGCTTATTTGTTTTGTGGGTTAAGTGAACATTGGGATAACTTTTAAAGCCAAAATATGGTACAAATATTGTCTTGCCATTGCTTATTGATAAGTTTTTGCGCTTATATGGCGCAAACGTCTAGTCAGAAAACGGAAAACTCACCGTAGTGGTGTTTTGACAAATATTGCAGGTGTGGAGAGTGCGGAAATTCAGTGGTATTTTGGCAATTTTTTACAATCTTTGTATTTTTAAGTTGCCTTGGTTGTGAAGTGTAAGTTTATCATTATCTCTATGTTATTATTGGTCTAAATGTTGATATATCTTACATTTAATAAAGATAGCTTTCAGAAATGTCAATGCAATAGATCTGACTCTGAATCTGCATTGACTGAATAGGCTTTCATGCATTATCAGTACACCCGATTAACTGAGTCGGCAAAGTGCCAAGTACTTAGGAAAAGTCCGACTTCTAGAAACTTGTAAATCTCACGTTGATACTGAGCCACATCCTAATTTTGTGTTTCGATTCCAGGTTATTTCCGATTTTGTCATTATGTATGCATGTGGGTGTTAATCCTGTGGAATTTGCTTTTCATCTGATTTTGTGTACCCCTTTTTGCTTTTATGCATCCTGCAACGAGTGCTGCCTTTTATTAATTCGCTCCTAGTCAAGAACACTTTTATCCCCAAAAATTTCCCAGCCATGCTCATTTATCAAGGTGTCCCGATGGCAGAAACAGTGGTGCCCGTTCATGCTGTTTCTGATGCTTTCTCGAGGAGTGAAGTTAGTCTTTGTTCGCGAATTCTTACACCTGGATATTCAAGTGTTTTGTTAAATTGTCACTCCGGTTTTGGGGATTCTAGTCCAAATTTCTGAACTTCTTTTGTGAAGGCGGTTTGTATTAGTCCTATAAAGGCCTATTTATCAAGTATTGCGTGATGTCACCAACCTACGTCATGATTTAGCGTGGTCGCTAGCATTACTGTCGTTGATACCTACTAGCATTGTTTTGTCGACCTTATTGATCCCGTTATGGTGACGGTAAGGTCAATTTAAGGTACTGCGTAATGACTGTTAATTATCAAACAATTTGACACATCACAAAGATCATGGAATTTTCGAAGTAGGTTTGGTATTTCGTGGGTTTGTTTTTCAGGTACGTGATCTCTTAAAAAAGATGCTTACTGTGGATCCGATTAAACGCATTAGCATCGATGACATCCGAAAGCATCCCTGGTTCGTAATCGATCTGCCACCGCATCTGTTTCCTCAAGAACGCGACGAAGACGCCTCCATCATCGATAAGGTAAATTTTCACACACGTTAACTCAAGGCAAATTTCTTGCTCTGTTCCCTTTTACGGACAGTGCACTAAGGTCATGCCAAAGCCAACCCAGTAAACTCATCGAGCTTTATCATGGCCCTTCTCTTTTAACTGAGTCCCCATTTGTTGATGCAATTAAAGATTCATTTTGTTTCATGAGGCGATTATTCTCCAACTTATGCTATTCTCACACAAGCGAAGGCTTTGGATGGGCACATTAGCATGCCTGGTCGTGCCAACTCCACTCGTTAAGCGATGTTCTAGAGTGTTTATCTATTGCTCCTCCACATCCGTGCATTCACACGGTTAATTGCAGCCGCTCGTTAACACTCATTAACTATGTCTTTTGAGTTTGCACTTTGTTCTTTACCTCAGCGTTGTCCTTGTCCCTATTAATTTATATGTTGCACTCCCTATTTCGCGGATCAGTTTCGTTTCCTTTTGTGGGACTTTACCTTCTTCTGTCATATTTACTCAAGGGTCAGCGGTGCTATTCTCGGTTTTCCTGTCTCTAACTCATCTTCACTCAGCACCAAATTATAGTGTTGAAGTTTGAGTACCTTGGGCCGGGCTGCATACGTTGTGCTGCATAAGTGGGTCAACAATTATAATAGGAGTTTAAGGGATGATTAACCAATGTGCGAATATCTTGAAGGAGTTCAATTATACACGCATGCCTTGGGGCTTACAAAACAGGTTTAGTAAACTCCACGACATTTCGGATGTTTCGGGATTTCTCCGTGATGGTTTGTAAGGACCTCCCATTGCGTCACTAAATTTCCTAGCCTTTAGTTGTTTTTTGCTGTAATTTACGATTGAATGTGCTGCAAAGCCTAATAATGTTGTATATTCAACGAGTACGATGAAGAGCCTTTAAAATGCCCACTTATAAAGATTCTTTGGCTTAGCCTATATGTTAAATTTTTTTCATGTATCTGTTGATTGTCCTGTAATTACAGTTGAAAGCGTTAATGGAGTCCGCTTTTCGAACGACTCAGGCATTTTCACGAGCCTACCTTGCATTCTTGATTCACCGAAAACACGTTGTCACTATTTTTTGTGATTCGTTAACTATGTTGACAATCACATTTCACGTTCACTTCATCCCGGTTAAAGTGTGCGAATTTCAAAGCACTTTGCCAGTGGATTGTTTGCATTTTGGATTTGTAAATTTAGGTAACAGTGACATTTCAATCTTTCCAAGGTACACAAAGTTTTATGTGGTGTCTATTTTCAAAGCTAAATCAAATTTCGGTGTTCACCCGGATAATACGACGAATGTGGCCAACGCTTCACGTTGATTGGTGGGATTCGTCCCTCATTGTCTAAAACCGGCAACACCAGATCATATCTGTCAAATTTGTGCTTTGAAATTCTACAGACTTACTGAACCTTCATGTGCGCAAAGCTTTGTTAATGGGATAGTTTTGGCTTTCGGTTTGTAGGAGGCTGTCTATGAAGTCTGTCAAGCCTGCAACGTGACTGAACGAGAGGTATTTGCGGCTCTGATTGCCAATGATCCCAGTGACCAACTTTGCGTCGCCTATCATCTGATCATTGACAACAAGTGAGTTCGGTTCGCCTAGATTTCATCATTGGCCATTATTTGTAACATAACAAACTGCGCTTGTTTGTTTGGTTTTGAAATATGCAGAGTTCATTTGCTCCCACCCGTACCCACTGTAGTCAAAATGTGTTGCTTTGTTGTCTCTCCGATTTGACACGGTTACGCGTCTGCGATTACGGCCGAGAAATATATTCTCATGAGGTCAGGAGTTTATAGAGCGTGTTTTCTGTAAAGTTGCCTTTCTTTTATACTTCTTTTACCTCACATCTCATCGGAGAAGACCACTGGACAGCGTTCTAGGACACTTATACTAATGACCCAGACTGAAGCGTTTCCTCATTTAAGTCCGATTAGTTCATCTTCCAGTCAATTAGTTTTACTCATAATTTACGGACTTGCGAGGATTCCACACTTTCAAATCAAATAGTTTTGACCATTCCAATTTTCATTGCCTTAAAAATTCCTATGCGGCAAAAATTAGGTAGCTGATGACATCTGAAGACGTCGTGGTTATGATTCGTGGTTCACTTTCTTGTGCTGCTTCTCTGTTGAACTGTAAATTTGCCTTCATTACGTGGATGCGTTTCAGATTTTCTGCACTCTTCATTGTTCTCCATCCCACTCTCATCAGCATTCAATGTATATCGTGGCGAGAACCTTCTAGTGATTCACTGTTGTTGCCTGATTGCTTATTTTTACTCTTTTTTTACCAGGCTTAGTTGATTATAGCTGGAATGGTTTATTGCGTTTATGATTTGAACGTGGAGCATTATTCGAGTATCCTTTTATAATACCCGCCATAATTGTGTAATGAACCCACTAAATTTCCTTCGTGGGTTTCACTTAAATTAGGATAAGTGTTTTATGTACCCAGAATTACATTGAGTGGGCTTAGGCTCTCAAGGGGCCCCGACGCAAGGAAATAATCTTCGTTTTCTTGCCACTTATTCGAGAAAGAACTTTTCATTCTCTGCTTACTGGTAAGGTATATTATTTAGTTGGAGTATCTTATGCTATTTCCCAAGATTAACTTCGTTAAATTGCCACGTCTTTGCTCCGTTAAGTGGTAACTATTTCTGAATGGAGTGTCATCTTGATTTGGTTTCTTTCCAGGCGATTTGGATCGGTGCTGCAGCCAGAAGAGGTGGATAACTTCTACGTGGCCACGACAGAGAGTTCGGGCGCTGGCAACGCTGGTAGTAGTGGTATCGGTGCCGGGGCCGTCATCCCGGGGTCCAGTGGGCCTGGAGCCCAGATGCACGCCCCCGGTACCGGTCTCTCCCCCAACCGACCGCATCCTGAGCGAATGCCTGAGGGTCCACCACTTACTAGGACTCTGGATCCTGTCGACAGCGGTGTGGTACGCCTTTTAATTTTAAGTACTAGGCTTATTCCTGAGGACTATAAAGGATACAGGGTTGTGAAAGGTATATCATCAATTCTGATGAAGGGAATATGGTTATGCCTTCACGCTGCCGGCCTGATGACGAAATCGCAAGAGTTTGGGAAAATTATGCGTAGGTAAACTAAAAGTATTTCTTTGGTCGCATTACCAACGAATTCCTATTATTAATTATCCTACCCGAGAGTCTCAAGATTTGGTTTTTCCATTTTGTTCGCCTGCAACCATAGGCTTGACTGTCTGATCCGTTATAACTTCATTTTTACACAACGAGTCGTTACTGTTACACGAGTTTAAGCTGTATCTTACGTGTGCACTTCGCATCCAATTAAGTATGGTATTGCCACTGCAGTTCGTATTGCAAATAATCTTTGGTTTGTGTCAGTATGTTTAGTTGTCAGCATTTATTTGTTGTTTTACTGCCTAAGTGAATTTTCCTGATGAACTTGGATAAAGCCTATCTCCTCATGGCATCCACATACAACGCTTTAATGTACTGAAAAAACTGTTTCTCTTCCACTTCACTAGGCAGGTTCCTCTGCAGCTGCTTCGGGTATGGTGGGTACAGCAGGAGCGGGAACACTGAGTGGATTAGTCACGGGCTCACCGAATGTCGGCTCCGGCGTCGCCCCCTCCGTTTCCTCGACGGCTGCGTCGGCGCTGGCGGCGGGAGCGGCCGCGGCCGCGGGTGCGAAGCGTTTCAAGTGGCACCTGGGCATTAGGTCGCAATCGCGACCCTGGGACATCATGCAAGAGGTTTTCCGCGCTATGAGCACCCTTGGCTATGAATGGAAGGTCATTACACCCTTTAATATCCGTGTGCGCAAGTGGAATCCTGTGCTCCAGCATCATTTCAAGATAATGCTTCAGCTCTATCAGGCAAGCTTTTTCCATGTAGAAAGCTCCACTCTTCGACTATTTTAAAAATTTCGCACTTCATTTTCGTTTCCACCCCCAGGCTATGAAAATTATTGCAAGTTTTTGAAATGTTATATTCGGGCCTAGGTCTGCTTAGTTTATCACATTCGGGTTGACACCATTAAAGTGCAGTCTTCGTTCAAGTAAATTTATAGCATCAGTGCTTCTACTTTGATTCTACAGGTATTTTTAAGTGCTTTTCAAACAGTTCAAGCATAGGCTTTAACAACGATTCTATTGTTTTTGACCAAAGGGTAACCTACGTAGTAGTTCATAACCTATTGGGGTCTCGAATGAGTCGTAATTAGTTGGAGTATTAGTGTAGGATTCATGTTTGCTTTTACTACTCATCATGTGGCTTTGCGCTACTGCATCACCTACCATCTTTGTTTTCGGTTTCATGCATTTCATACTGATTCGCTAGTCTCAATGGAACGAGTTTCATATTGGGTTACGTGTAACATCCATTTCAGGTGGATGCGCGTTCCTACCTCCTTGACTTCAAGTGTATTGACGACACAAAGAATGATTCCGATTCTATCCTCAACCGCCGCCGATCGGGAAACGTTTCGATGTGCTTTGACAGCAATTGCCCTGGTGAGTCTATTCAACACAGCTCCTCCCACTTCTCGATTGTAACAGCTGATCATTAATCATAGAGTACTCTTCTTTGAGCGCATATTTCAAGCCTTTGTGGAACGCATTGAACAATTTAATTTGTAGTTGTTTTTAGCATTTCTCAAACCAATAAGGTGTTTGTAGTGGGAACTGCAGCTTTAGAGCTAAGTTTGCACCCTTTTCTCTTCTCGAAAGGTTCGCCTATGAACGCCGTGGGTTCCGGTGCCCCTCTTTCAGCTTCAGTGCCTCCGCTGGGAGGTTTTAGTGTTCCCATGGATATCGGTGCCACTGCCACAGACACCAACAATGGTACTGCTGCTCCCCACCTTCCTTCCTCCCCAGGTGCCTTTCGGCCTGGGGGAGGAGTGCGTCATCAGACGATGGAATTCTTTGAACTCTGCACCGAACTGATCACTACCCTTGCTCGATGATGGCCTTTACTGCAACACTTACTATGATTTCTACGCTCTTCCTCCGTGACATTTTGTTTGACACCATATGTGAATCGGTTAGCTTTTATTCATTGTTATGATTCGACACCCCGTTGACCTGTGTACCTGTCGGTTTAACGGCTGGGAACAGTGGCGTCTACTATGTGGGTGGGTTTTCCTTGAGGCGTGTGTGTGAGCATAGTAGCGTGAGCGCCCAGTGGGGAAACGGGCATCGGCGTCTTTGGTAAAGGGCAGTAAAGTGTGGGTTACGTAAATGATGTAGTCAGTGCTCACGTCATGTAAAGAGCGGGGGAGCAATTTTTTTGTTTAATATTAAATGGGCCCAAGCAAGGTTCCTAATAGGTTTGCTTTGAATGTGATATATTTTAGAGGACCGATCATTTATAAGGTGAGCAGATCATTGTAAGCCGCGAGGATTTACACTATAAATTAAATTGGTTGTTAAAATATTAAAATTTTGAGTTTATTTAATTTTTTCAATCATTTAAAAGGGAAACTTTTGATATATCAAATTGGTAGTATGTTTTAATCAATGCGTAAACATGGCCTTGGAGTTCTATGGTTCGACTCGACTTTTTGATTTGCGGCTTCGTCTTTGGCGGTTTGCCTGTACTGACCGCCCTCTCTGTTTCTACATATCATCGTGCCTGCTTTCCGTCTTCGAACGTGAGCATATTTTACATGTTAGTTAAATAAGGTGTGTAACAAAATCCACTTACCATGACAGTGTTGTCAACCATGTTTTGCCACGTACGTTGTGCCTTCTCGTGCTGTTTTGGTGCATAACTTGCTTTTAAATTCCTACAAATAATCAAGAAATGGGCCCTGTTTATTTTACTTATCATCAGTGAGGTTAAGATTTCATTTAGCCATGGGTTCTTTAACTGGTTTTAAGGCGGAATAAGTAGATAACTAACAATTCAAAGACCATGTGAGTGCCTTCTTTTTTATGGTTAGAAGTTCCAAAAACCCATTAATTTAATAGCCCAATACTGTGTGTTTTTACTGGTGTTTTTATGTTACTGTAAATAGGGTCAATGTGAGTGTTTGTTTTTTAATCTAAGATTCAATTCCAACTCAATCAGCTCGAATCATGTTCTCGTTCTTTGGCTCTTCGCCCCCTTTTGACGTAGTTTCAACAATTTCAAATGATGGGTACTTGTTTGATCCTGAGGTTTGTGTATTGCTTGTTTTAAATGCATTAAAATTGTAATAAATGTCAAGTAGTATTATTGACACTATATCGCACTTCACCTTCACCGTAGTTAATAGCATCATTATCTTCACACCATCAGGATACAAGAAACTGCGTATTTGCGTAACTTTGGCCAAGGCAGTTTGATTGTTCTTAACTAGAGATTTAGTACCACTGGATAGCATGTTTGATATTCTTCTGTTTTCTTTTTATTGCTGGTTATGTGATTTACGATTCTCTTGTTCTTCATCTTCGAATTGTAGGGCGGCATTCGTCGATCGTTGATTACCAAAGAATCAGACCTCCCATGGCTTCTTGATGAACGTCTTACAACTGTCCACGACCTTCTTCTTGAATCAGTTCGATTATCGGGTACATGCTCCTTTAATGCGAGTAACTAGAAGCAGAAAATAAAATTCCAATCCGATTGTAACCCATCCGTCTGTCTTTGTTATGTAGGCCTACCGTTCAGTGGGTAAATACGTTTCCTTGCTAATTGAAACAAGTAGGTGAAACACTTAAGGTCGCAGTGCCTTCACACTCCAACCAAAAGTTCTGGCTTTGATAGCACCATTAAAGTCATGGATCAAATTGTGCCTTTCCTGATTGTTCAGTCGCCTCTCATTGTTCAACCTAATGCTTAATGCATTCACTTCGAGAAATTAACTTAAGCTTGAACTCACTTAGGCTTGAACTCTTGATTTCTAACATTTGTTCTCTTTGTGTCTACTTTACCACGGTTTTTGAAGCCATTTCTCAAAATGCAATTTGTTTGGGTTCAGCCTTGGTGTTTGTACCTCCCTCTTGGCTAACAAAGCTAGGGCTTTTCAGAAAACCCATTGGTGTAATTTTCATGAGTTTGTTGTTTTACCAATCATGGTCAACCACTTTGGGCCTTGTCCAGGAGATTGACGATATTATTGAAGTTGAGTGGCGAGCTCATGGGTGTTTGTGAAGTTGACTTGGAGCACCTCAATCACTTTTTATTCCGACAGAGAGATCTTAGTGTAGCACCACAAATATGCTGGTAAAACAGCTTTGTTCCATGATTTGTTGAAATGCCTACTTGTGTTTCGTCAAGGGCAAAAGCCGTTCCTTGGGAGCCATTCCACTCCGTCGGAGGCCTATTCGTGGATAACCTTCAAGGCGGTGAGCAAAATGCCCTGAGAAATTTATCTTTACAAATTGCTCACCCTCTTAGTTAACCGTTCTCAGTCCATATTCTAAATTGTTGCTGCCAATACATTGACTAGTGCATCAGATCAACCAGTTGGCTGTAATGCCCTGCCCATTTGAAGCCTAAAAAATGCTCAGAAAAATGAACTTTTACATTTTCTTTGCTGCTATTCGTAATAAATCAAATTCATTTATCTACGGTTTATTGCAGGTTTACGAAAGAGTTTGCGACTTAGGCTCGGGTCTAATTAGTGTCTGCGGTTTGAAGAGCCATGAATGTGGAAACTTCCTCGGCATCTTTGGCCGCAACTGTGCCGATGTGAGTAAAATTGGATTTTCTGTTTTGGCTGATTTGTCAACAAATAAGCTAGTAATTGTAATATTTCTCTTGACAGCGTATTTTAAGTTCATTTAGGTTCATTTATTGTTTGTTGGAAGTTTTGTAGCCATGGTTTCAAATAAACCCACCGACTACTTAGTTTGCTCTGATCTCTTTACTGTTGTTTGACTCCAGTATCAAAAGTAATGGGTCTGAAATAACCAACTTGAACAAATTTCCTACCACACAAATTATGTAAGTTAGGTTTACGTGCACTAACTCCGTTCCTAGTTATTCGTACGTCAAATCTGGGTTTTTTTGTGATTGTATTCACTCTTAATTTTCAAAACTCATAAGCTCCCCTTGATTATTAGGCTTGGCAGATGTACTAAGGTGTTCTATACACCTCACTTACACATTTTTTTTTCAGTCGCCTGTTTTGCAAATGCTTAGCACATCCTCCATCAACCTATTTTTCCTCTAAGCAATTTTAAACACCGCATTGCGATGTTTAGCTGGAGCTTTCCCCTGATGAGATCCTACACAGTTATTACTATTTCTGATAAAACTTGACGTTTTTCAATTCCTTCTACCCTGGTCCCTGCTTCCTGTCTCGTGCATTTGAGGTTATGGAGTCATGTAATCTGACTGACTCAGTCGGTTCGGGATAGATTACCATTAAAATTCACCAAAATAATTTCGCAATGTTTTATCTCTGTGTGGAAGCCTTTTGGGAGTGTCAGTTACCAAGTTTGTTATAGGTTTGCTCTTGTCTTACGACGCATTTAGACGTGATAAGGTAAATTAACTGGAGGTTATTTTAGCTACTCTAATCTTGCTGTTTGAATAAATGGTGACACCATACGTTAATCCATCCACGCACTTTCATTTTTGGATGCATTTCACTGGCCGTTGATGCTCATCTTATGCATGGTTTCTTCAATAATCATTTACGCGCATCCCCTCACTTGCTAGAACACTGCCGTAATTATTAATCTCAATTGTCTACGTCCCAAAATGGATGGCTTTGTCGCCGCATCTGCTCACTTGCCATATGTGGCTTCGACTTACGAGACGAGACATTGTCTGTTCCTCCCTTGGACGGGTGGCTCAATATCCCCATCATATATCGTCTGATTTGATATAATTTTTCCGACAATAGTGATTATTCTAGCCATTATAGTTAAGAAATGGTATTAGTAATGTTAGTAGAATGTATTTCTGCTAATCAACGTTCCTTCGATCGTGGACAAAATTCTAATTTTTTTACGTTTTTCTAGTGGGTGGTTGCAGAATTCGCCTGTGCGACCTACGGCCTCGTTGCAGTTCCTCTTTACGACACTCTTGGGACCGAAGCTCTCAAGCATATTTGTAATCATTGTGAGTTCGTCTGCTGAGGCAAGCAGTGTCTCAGTGGCTGCTTCCTCATTACTTATCATGAACCTCTAAATGCTGCACACGTGATCTTACGATCTCGGGTTTTATTAAACTGAGATATTGGATTCATAAGCGGGTACATAGTGTAGCCAAACACGTTTAACTGTTTCCATAGCCAAAATTAAAATAGCTAATTTATAAACTCAATTATTAGGATGACAAGTCCAAAATTAGTTTGGTCAATTTTTAGTTGAACGCTCACGCATTGCACAGCCGTTAGTTAAAACAAAGCATGAGGTTATCAGTGTCTATTGTTCCCACTTTAACGTCAGCCGAACTGACCGTGTGCATCTGTGTCACGCCGGACCTTGTCCAGAAGCTGCTGGACTTGAATCCGGCCCCGCTTCGTCACATCATCCTAATTCAATCGGATGAGGGCACGCTGAAGAAACTCCGTGAGGCGGCAGGCGGCCGCGTACAGATACATGACTTCGCCGACATCCTGGTATGGAGTTGCGCTTGATCGCCTTCCCCTACTCGGACTACACATATATCGTATAAGCGTTTCCCCTGATGTGCCCAGGCGCTAATAGCCATTTAATTATCTCTTGATTTTATGTTAATCTTTGTGTAGTCGAACTTCTTTTCCCTCTTTAGATTAAAGGGAAGGAGGAGCCTCGTACACCTGATGTAAGTTGACATAATGGTAATTTCGGCTGTTCTGGTTTCGGTTAATCCAGCGGCTTAAGTGGGATGAGCACTCACAGCTCATGTCACATCACTTTTTTGCCAAGCTAGATAAGCACTGCATTTACTCCTCCACTTTCCTTTGTATATAAATTATAAACTAAGCTAGATGCCTTGTGTGCTCTTTATCATTCTATTTCTAGTTTTCTTGATGCTTGATATAATGTCACCTAGCAAATTCCTGCACCTTGAGGTTTTTTGCGGTCTTTCGAAGCATTTGTTTGCATTGTTATGCATTGAGTTTTGGCGCAACCTTTGCGATGTGAGTGCTTACAATGCTGCTTTATTTTTTCTCCTCCGATCAGCCGTCGGGGACAGAGGAATGGGTATTCATCTGCTATACCAGCGGAACAACAGGTCATATTTTAAATACTTTATCGGAATGAAATCCTTTTTCCGTGCTTGCTTCGCTAATTCTTTAATTTTTTTTGCAAATTTTGTCCTGCCCACGCCTTAGACTGATCCCGCTATCCCTAAGTTCGTGTATAAATTACCGTCTTGTACCGAAAATTTATTGTACTTTACTGCTTCCACATGAGCAGTCGAGGTAGTGGAGGGATTTTCTACCCACTGCACCGTTTTCGTGGCCGTGAATTTAGTTTTTTTTTTAAATTTATGTCAGCTTAAGAGGAAAAGCCAAATGGATAATCCCTATTGTTATGCTGCTAAAAATCCAAGTCGGATGAATGTATCCATTAAACAAATTAATCTGCGAGTTGACGTGCTTCCATCAATTCTTGAAGGGTTTCGTGTTCTCTCAGCATTTCCCGAAAAGACGAAAGCGTTCTCCCGTTCGACGGTCGGGAAGTATTTGCAGTCGCATAAGGTGTAGGTGTTCGTTGACTGGATCTGCTGTTTGTATACTTTGGCAAGCCGCATGCTAACGATAAATATACCGCTCTGAGATGCTTTGTAAATATTCCTTTTCTACCGCTGTCGGACGATTTGTCGACTAAGCGTGGTGTAATGTGCAATGCGAGTTTCTGTCAATGAGACCGAGCGCACTGGCATCTGGCTAACTTTGAGACCCCTTTTTCAACACTTTTAGCACAAGTGAAGATCCGCATGTTCCTCACGGGTTTTATATTGTCTTTTACTTTTAGTGTCTTCTATTTGCTCCCCAATATTCCGCGTTCAGTTTGATTTGATGCATCATTTATCCCTTATGCCTTATTTAATGTCAGGTGAAGAGAGTATTCTAGGTTCTAAGCAAAGATATCTGTGATAATTCACTAGTTGATGCGGTATTTTTTTGTATTTCAGGGACTCCTAAGGGTGTTATCATTACGAATAAGATGCTTATCGCCACCGTTACTGGAACCATGATGAATACTAACTGCACTGTAGGAGTGCTGTATTTAGACGCTTTAAAGCCGCTTATCACATTCCATTTTATGCCATTACAGCACTTCATACTAAGCAGATGTTTTTTGTGTGTATCTAATGCCTTATATGCATCTTGTTATCCTTTTTTCGTAGCTTTTCACACAGAACGATGTCCACTTATCATTCCTTCCACTGGCCCACATCTTCGAACAGTTCAACGTAGTGCGTTTCAACTTTTTACTACATCTATTTATGCTGCCAGTTGATGTGAAGATCATCCTGTACGGTTTTATCCAAACAACATCTGCTTATGAAGACCAACTTCACAAAGACCCACGAAAATTCCTAGTTTTCTGATCAGGTGTTCATTTGGATTCAAATGTGTGATTTCACCACAGCCCCTTTGATCTGTAGGTAAACATGCGATTGCTGTGGCTATTGGCTGCATTCATGGGTACTTTCTAACACTTTTGAGTCATCTACGCAATTTATATTCACTCTCTAGTACCACTCATTTGGTTCTTTTTTGTCTACAAACCATCTACCTTTTCTGTCCTATTCTAGGTACTCGTATATCTATCACAATTTAAGCATTTTAAGGCATGGTCTTTGTAAAATTTATGGCAGGGCGGATTTTTGGTGAGGAAAAAATGCAACAATTATGCGATGGATGCAACTCAGATTCGCATAGAAATTGTCAAAATTCTTCTGTTTTTCGACAATTGGCAGAATTCATTTATTGAATTGCCATTTATATTGATAGTAGATTTTGTTATTATACAAGTGGCATATTTTACCATACAGTTGACATGATATGAAAGTTGCCAAAAACTGAATTGTCAGATGGAAGCGTGCAACAACGTAAACACTGCGGCTGGACTAAGGTGGGTACACTTTTACAAGTGGACTCCTTCGGTCACATTAACATATGAGCAAAAGTGAAGAAACCACTTCTGCTCCTCCTTTGCTGTTTAAAAACATACTGTACGTTTTTAAAGGAAAGGTTTCTTGATTTATCTTTCGTTGGCAAAGGGATCACAATTTTAAGTAATGGTGTCAACCGAAAAGATTTTGGGGCGTTTCCTAGGGTTTGCCAATTTCGTCATGCTTTCGTTCAATGGCCATGCAAATTCTCAGTAGAGCAACGTTCTGGCGAGTGTTTGGGCTGCTTTTCTGACACATAGATGCTTGCAGCATTGTTAGTTAATTTGCGGCACTGTGTCACCGTACGTCCTGGTTTAGATGCTCGCCTTGAACGCGCGTGGCAGAATAGGTTTCTACAGCGGAGATATCGTCAAGCTGCAGGAGGACGCGCACACCCTGCAACCAACAATCCTCATCGCCGTACCTCGGGTTCTCGCACGTATTCGACAGCGCATATACCAACAGGTAGCTGATTCTCGTCTCAAGACACGTCTCATAGCGACGGCCATTAATCAGAAGCTGAAGTCAGTGGATAAGTACGTTTTGCACGCCTTGTTTTTCAAACGGCTTGTTATTAAAGGAAATTTAACACCAAACCGGTTGATTCTTTTCATATTACAGACAGATCTATAAACACAATACGATGTGGGATCAGTTGGTCTTCTCTAAAATCCGAAAGCGCTTTGGTGGACGTATTCGACTGATTATAACTGCGGGAGCTCCCATCTCAGGCGAACTGCTGCAATTCATTCGGGCAGCCTTCTGCTGTCCGGTGAGTCAGAATTTCATGCCTAAAGATGAACGACTCCTTTCATCACACTTTTTGTACGCAAATGTGGCGTATATTCCTCGATTTTCAGTTGTTATCTACATTTTTGTAGTTAAATAAGTGCTTTGTCTGTACGCTCTGCCTCATGCTCACAGATAATGCGATTACTTTTTCATCTGAAAAAGGTGTTTGAGGGTTATGGCTCCACCGAGACCTGCGGTGCAATCACCAGCGCCATATTCGGCGATTTAGAAGGGGGCCATGTAGGACCGCCGCTACCTGGTTGTGAAATCAAACTTGTCGACATTCCCGACATGGGCCTCGTTGCTGCCAGAGACAATAAGGGCGAGGTCTGGAGATATTTAACTATGTCAGGCTTGACCATTTCGCCACTTTGTAGTATTAAATAATTAGTGCTGAATTAAAATTCGGTGTATTAGATCATAAATAATGTCTCGATTCACTGGCATGACGTTTCATGTCTAGCGTATGTTTACAAGTTTGTTGAATTTTATTGGGATTAGTGATATCCTTATTTTCTTTATTGAAGTAATGAGAGATAGATGCTTGATTTTTGGAGCCATTTAGCTTTATGTTATATACTTCCTTCAACCATTTAATCGGTGGCTTTTTTATTTGCAGATTTGTTGTCGTGGCCCAGTAGTGACCCTTGGTTACTTCAAAGAACCTGGCTTAACAGCACAGGCTTTGGACAAGGAGGGGTGGCTTCACATGGGAGACGTCGGTGTCTGGTGCGAGGTGTGTTGCTTTGCTCAAATCGAAATGCTGGTCTCTTCTATGCATTCTACTCTCGCTTTTCGAGTAGCGTTTGTATTCAGAACAGGCAAAGTATCCCATCTGACGCCTCACTTTTTGGTGTAGGGTAATCGCCTCAAGATAGTTGACCGCTTAAAACACATCTTCAAACTCTCTCAAGGCGAGTACGTTGCACCAGAGAAGATTGAGGAGGTCTACCTGCAAGCGCCCCTGGTGTGTCAGGTCTTTGTTGACGGCTCGCCGCTGCGTTCTTACCCCGTAGCACTGGTCGTCCCTGATGGAGACGCTCTCCGCAGGGCTCTCACCGAGTTGGAACAGGATTCGGGCGGTAGCAGCACGCGAAAGCTATCTCGTCAGAGCAAAAATCGCCCACCGGAAGGGGACACTGAGGCCTCTGAAAAGTTTTGCCTTAAGGGGAAAATGGTGACCCTGGCAGATATCTGTAATAGTTATGAGGCTGAAAGGCTCGTCTACAACGAACTCACCCAAGTGGGCAAAAGTGCCGGACTCAAGGGTTTCGAACAGGTTGGTGCATTCCTCTTATCCGGTGATCTTGACTTAAAACACGTGGACTGATCCTGAAAAAGGACTTGTTGTTTTGAGTTTTGCAGCGCAGGATCCACTGTTTTATCAAGATTGAATTAGCATTCTTCACAAAGACTGAGTTGGCTTATGATATCGTTGTCAGTGACGAAGATTGCTCAAAGTTATTTGAAGTCTAGTAAATCCGGTGGAATGTGAGCTGGTGTAATTATTGGCGGAGTAGTTCATGCTGTTAGTAATCTAGCCTCATGGTGTCAAGACTGGTTGAGCTTTCAGTACCACTTTTTGTGTAGTGATGACGATGAGTTGAGTAGCAAATTGTGAATTCGTTTATCCGGGATATATGTATATGGGCTATCTGGCTCTGTTTAGGTCCGAGCCGTCAAGCTAATTCCAGAGGCTTTTTCGCTTGAGAATCGTCTTCTCACTCCAACTATGAAGTGTGCCCGTCACGCTATTCGTCAACGATACCAAGAAGATCTTCTCCAACTCTTTGCTCGGAAGGAGCTTGACTAACCGAGTTTTCTTGTTCCCCTAATCTTTAAAACACATACTTTCCTTTCTTCTGCATTGTGGAAAACCAAGTTTTTGTGTATTACAAATGCCTTTTGCATTAATCCCCACTTTTCTGTCATTGACTAATAAAGTTGTGGTCGTCGCAGAAGTTGTGTTTTCTGAGGAGGTTCGTAACTGCGCGCCCTGGGCTGCCTTGATGCACCTTGGTTCTTCATGCGTTTGCCATCTTACCGTAATTTCGGTAGGCACAACAACCGAATACTTTATAGAAACGCTTGCAAGCCCATTCACTAAAATTGGCTGATAGTGGTGCGAAGTAGGGAGATTAATGAGTTATCATTTATTTAAAATATTTATCCACTTTTCGCACGAGGTGATCTTTCCAAGTCGTTTTCACTGAGATGAGTCAGAGTGAACTTTGCGGCTTTTACAACGATTTTGGTGTTGCATTGCGGACTGCATGTGGGGCAAAATTGTCCTTCCAGAAAAATTTGAACTACATGCCAAACGCTAAAGGCGTGAAAGATTGATAGTTTTGGCACGATTGTAAGGATTTAGCATTTTAAAGTACTTAAAAAGGTTTTTGCGTGTGCGTGGCCCTCAATTCTTGTTAGCGTGGGGTTGCTTCGCTGAGAGTCAACAAAAAGACAAAATTTGAATGACCTAAGGGGAGTTGTGGTGTTTGAGCTTGCCCAATCACAAACGCTAAAATCGGCACATCAAATAACAAATTATTGCATCTGATGGTGGACTGATCTTCGTGAATGCTAGTATGGTCGCGAAAATCGAGTCCCTTGCCAAAAAAACTAGTTTTGGGTGACCCGCATTTCGATCTCAAGTCTAATTTTGAAAGTAAATTGATGCATTTGTTACATAAACCACATGCTTTCGGTGTGGCTTTGATGAATTTGGGAACTGAGGTCAGTATCGCTTATCCCCTTCATTGAAGTCCAATCTTTCCCACACGGCTTAAACCGCATAAAAATTGCAAGAGAAAACATCAAGTAATGGAGATTCTTCATTCTGTCTTCCTAATTGCCTCGCATGGTGGATCCCCAGGTAAAGTTAAAATTGCTTGTACACATTTAATACTTTAGTTGTTCGTTCAACTCTCGGTTTTGGTAATGGGTCGTCTAGGGGCTCCGCCACTGTACCCACCCAGCGGCCTGGCCTCCAGGCTATGCCAGTAGGCCCTAGAACTCCTGCACGTCTTCGGGAACATGTTTGTTCGAATATTACGGGGGTCACTACATTGTTTACAGCTAAAAGTGAATCATATCTTTAAGGGCAAACATTCTGATTTATACTTCTGGATGACAGCGTGACGGAAGAAGCGTGTAGTTTGCAGATGGGAAAATGTGTCGGATCCTAGCAGAAGGCCTGAAAATCATGTCCACCTTCAACAACCACACCAATCCCGCGTTCTTCAGAAATGCTATCAACGTTGGAAGTGACGCCAGCCGTAAACAACCGGACAAGTTCGTTGCGGAGGCGTCTATGGCACCTGTTTGAAGGCATAAACGAAGTGGACAATCAATGCCTCCTCCACTTCTTTTCTGTCTGGATGGAACATTGGTAGCACTAAAGTTAGACCGAGTAGGCCAGGAGAAAAAACAAGAAAGACATGCGCCAGTAGCACATTAGAGATTCCGGTGACAAGTAGTGAGATTACGCCAACCTCGCGACCCATAGACCTTCACTGGTTCCCATAGAGGACATGAACGCATCCCTAGAAAGCTGATAATTTGTTAGCTTTGCATACTATACAGCACAACTTCCTCTATTCATTCTCGACTGAAGGATCCAAAATCGTGAGTAGAACTGAACAGTGACAAAGATACTCCTTAATACTCGTGCAAAAATTTGCAATTACTGGCACAGCGAAATACCCAAGCTTAAGATTCTCATTTTAGTGAGATTTTCTTCTTATCGTAGGTCCATTTATTACAAAGCAGTGAATTGATATTTCTTTCCTGTGTTAAACAACGCGAGTACTTGTTTCCGAGGTTTTAATTCCGCCCTTGGGCATGGTCTTCGAGCCATGCCCAAGAGCCTCCTCACCCTTCTCTACATTACTAGTACATTTTGTCACGCCACTGTCAGAAATTCCTACGACCGAAACCACTAAATCAACTGAACAGGTCCGACTCGTGGACGCAATTTCATGACTACTTTGAAAAAAGTGCCGGCACCTATATGTAGGATATCTGAGAAGGGAGTCAAAGGTTGCTGCACCCTTCTCGCTGATCCAAACTAAGTGCGGGTAATTGGGTGTGTATGGGACTTCAGTAAAGTTTCTTAGTTTTCCAATGTTGAACAGTGGCAGTCAACGAGGAACCTCTCAAACTCTTCAGCTGAGCATTACGGCCTGAGTACTGTGTTGGGTTGAGCAACGCCCAGGACTATGCAGAACCTAATGCAGAGACACTCATATTTTGGCGCGCACAAACAGAAACCAATGTGAGCCAATCATGAACAATTGCTTACACGCATAAATGGACCGCAGGTCATCCCAGCAAACCAGAACATTCGCAGCTGCCAAACCAATAAACATGGCCATCCGGTTGCTGCTACTTTACAAAGTCCACTGCCCTCGGTTATCTGTTGCAATATCCTGACACTCACCAAGGCCTTTCCAACGTTCCTAACTCAGGTTCCCTGGTGGAGGCAATCAGACACACCATTTGAAAGTTAAAGCCACACGCAACCTCTTCCCTCACCTTAGTTTACGGCAATCTGGACACCAAAAATAACTGATGGGTAAGCGAAGCACAACAGGGCTGCACCGCGGGGCGCCAACCGTTACAGAAACTCATTTCACGACTGCCATCAAAGCTATAACCTTTCAAATGAGACTCGCGGACAAAAAACCCAGGTACCGGTACAGGAAGCAAAGACGTAGAGAACTATACAAGTTCCGCAACTGTAGCAGCCCCAATCGGGTCACCCAAACATTCCATGTGAAGCCAACGGACCCCTCAACGAAACCAAGGGCCGATAACGACGTAAACGCAATGCCGACTCTAAAATCGTAGCCACACGGCAAGCACTGTGACCAGATTCGTGCGAGGCTCCCCATACCGTCACATGGGACGGCTGTAAGCGTTTACAACTTGGTCTCCCAGCTTAAAACACTTAGAATCGCATTTTAGGAATGCCCCGTGACCTCCGAGCGCGACTTAAACGCAACAAAGGTGAAACAGAGGGAACAACCGCCCTCTAAACGCCTCTTATTAGTAATATGCAAATCTTCCCCTCACTGAGCCCACGTGTTCTAAACCTTATGGACAAGGTGAGCTGACCTACCCGGTCATGCTATTATCGTCCACATGATTTTTATGTCGCATGAAAACGATGAAGGATGAATCCACAAATGCCCTAGCTCTACTAGATACACAAATAGATTTTTTTTTCCTAGTAAAATGGCACACAGGAAAACGAGGCCCGAAAACAAAACAAACCGCAAAGGCAAAACGTGTATTGCAAAAGACACAAAAAAACAAGCAAAAGCGTACAACTAAACACTTGAACTCAGTGACAATAAAACAATTTGCGCTTGGAGTGGTGATGACATCTAGGTGCCATTTGCTTACTATCGACGCACGCAAGTGTAACTCCCGAACTTGACAATTTTCGCAATGAACCAAACCTATGCCCTAAGCTCAACTAAAGCATGCTGGCATGCAACTTACAAAGCCTACAAAGCTTACCCTTTCAGCGACAATCGAGCAAATAATAATTCAAGCAGTCAATTCATGCCAGTATTCTGCACTTCATAAATAGTTATTCGGGCGTCTATGTTCTTCCAGAGAAAAATGGTTATTCGGTAGCCAAATTATTCTCATGAATGTTCGATTCGCTAATTTCATCCACATTCACCTCTACGTAAATTATACTGATCTTCTCGTTCCTATTCATATTATCGCGTTCTGACCGAAAACTGCAAAAAGAAAAATGTGTCAGAGGAAAGAGTTGTACGTACAAAAACAAAGGATTTATTTTTCGGATTTTCATAACGGCAGAGTGGGAGCACTGTGTTGGTGGTTACCTGTATAGCGATGTGCAGAACTCGCCTATACGGCACAAATTCAGTTGAGTGTGGTAGGTGTAAAACAGTAAATGCAAAAGTTTTCTTAATCATAGCTTCGAGAGCGTGAACGTGAGTACCGACGCCTTGGTGAAGGTGTGCGCCGACGAGCACCGCAGCGTCTGAAACAGAAATGAGCACTATGCCTGCAAAACCATACAAGCGGTCCGACAACATTAGAAACAACTTGAAAGGAGGAACAATGCAACATACTTATGCTATTATTAAACAGTAAACAAAAAATTGAGAAAACATTACCTTGTTGGTCTCCCCATATAGACACCGGGTGTCGGAGAATGGGGTCTTTCAGTAACGCTATAATCTACCCGAATGGGGCGCCCGTCAAGCTCGGTGCCATGGGCGTCGTGTTTCGCCTCCTTTGCATCAGAAAGATGGCGCATGTACACGAAACCGAATCCTCTCGAGTGGCCTGTGAAGTTGTCATATACGATGGTTACATCCTCCACTTCTCCATAGCGAGAAAAGAGGTCATAGAGATCCCTTTCTGTGGTGCTCAACGACAAACCAAAAACACCGATGCATCGAGAGGGGACCGGGTTGTCCCTTGGCTGTCCACGTCGATAACCATAACTACTCGAGTAACCACTAAAAGTCAAAACTATCTCAAAAGGCAAAACCCGACGGAAATTCACATTTATGGCGCATTCAATATCATTACTTAAAAAAGCAAAACTAATAAACGCTATCAGAACGGGCTATATCTAGGCATTACTACCTAGCCTTTGAGCATAAACAAATCCAGCCCTACTTTCCACTATCTGCTCAACAATACAAGTCTCAGTGGAATGATAATAAACAAGCTCGGATGAATAAGATTGACGTACCTCGCTCGACGGGACCTGTAATCGCGGCTACTGCTCCTACTTCTCCGCCGACGATAGCTTTTTGGAGTTGGTGACCTGGATCTACTATTTTGGATAAGAAAGGTGCGCTAGAAACAGACCTTGATCTTGAACGACTTCTACCCCTTGAGTGAACAGACTCATCCCTCTTGTAGCTATTCGACGGCGAAGCCGAGTCGCGCATCTCTATAGCAGCAACGACAAAAGGCGGAAGCGAGTACGAATGAACAAATTGGAGGTGATTATAAACCTTGCCCATATGAAAATTGGTATAGAGATAAACTCAGTGGAAAGAGAAAGATGGAATAAAACATGAATTTATTCGGGCATCACAACAATATGACAAGATAGGATGCTATAAAGGGGGGGTTCATTCGAAGAATAAGCTATTTCGGTGTCGATTCTGCGACAAATTATCAACTGTCTTTAAAATAAATCCTAAAGATTAAGTCAAGTAAGTTAACGTTTAGATTTTTTTCTTGATTATGCAGTTTTTGCGCATAAATGTTGTAACACAACTGTGCCCTTTAAAACATCATCTTTGGAATAAAAACTTTCCCTGTATTATATGCCTTTCCAATGGAATGGCAGCTTGTTCAGACCATTTTTTAAATTGTATGTTCCTGCTTTCAAAAGCATGCATTTACCGTATATTGTCATTGAAGATGTCTCTGATAGCTCTTCAGAAATAGCGAAGAACATAGTAATGGTATTCATGGACTTCAAAACTTATTGATACAAGGCCAACTCGGCTTTACGCAACAAAAGCTGACACTGGTTGACCAGTTATTTAAGCAAAAGCTGTGCACTTGCTGGACTTTTTTCGAGGTTGTGTCTTCAAAAGTCATCATTCACCCGTGTAGATAACTATAAGATCATTTGTGTGGTAGATTTGAATCATTGTACATTGCTTTAATTAACCATATGTTATTTTCTGGGGCATTTATCGGCGTTTGTGCCCTGCGGTTCAGCTCAGGTGTGAGCAAAACTGGCATATTTTCGACCAAGTTCAGCCTCCTACTAGATGTATTGTTTTAAAATGTCTTTGATTTCCAAAACTTGCTTTAAGCCGCACGTTTCTGATTGATTGTGTATTGCATTTGGATCATGCTGGCAAAATTTTCATGCTCGGAAGCTGTGGATTTACCAATACCCTTCCCGACCACAAGGTATCACCTCTGTCTATTTCTCGTTTTGCTGCCCTAAATACACATTCTTTGTTGAAATGGGTAAAACTTTGAGGTCGTTTGTCGGGTTCCAATAAGTCGAACCCTCGCGAAACACTGGACCATGTTATCGAACTTCTTTTGGTCGCTGCCAATAGAGGTTGGCGGTATGACCGCATCATTAGCAGACGGGTGACCATGGGCGCCGTTAATGCAGTTCTCGACCACAGTAACACAAACCCTACCCTTTAAATTGGGTCCTTTAGAAGAAAAGCAGATTTTCTTAAAATTTTGTTGAATGGAGGATTTCCTGGTACACGT